AAAATGCAATTGTATTAAAGTCAATAAGTCCATTGTTGAACATGGAACTTGAGATTGAATACATTTTTAAGCTTGTTCCAATTAAACATTGAAATAAAAATATCAATACAAATAAAAAAAAGTACCTCTGGTTAGTTATTAACACGTTTCTTTAGGAGACCCAAACCAAAACCAAACCAAACAACAACACTCACGTTTTGTCATCTTTAGACTGTCAAAAAATAAATTGTTTTTCCAAGAAAAAAAAAATCAATCGTGTCAACAAAAAAAATATCTTTGTACAACACCAAGTGCCAATAATAAATAATTAATGACGCGTTTGTCGATCAAATGATCAATAATAGTATATATATATATATATATATTATTAATAATAATTCATCATTTCCACAACTATTCAGCAACAAATATAAATAATATAAATAACTTTTAATAAGTGACAACTTAAATACCGCTTCTGAACTTGGTACTTCCTACATACTAACTGCTGCTACTCCTACTGTGCCAACGATTGGTACACCTTCCACTAATGTCTTTTTTAAATAAAAGAAAAAAAGGAACCGGCCGTGAGCATGCGTTGGTTGGGTAAGTGTTTACTAAAAGAATGGTGGTGGTTATCGCCACTCGTTGTCACTCTAGTTTATATATAAAGATTGGTGGTTATTGCGATCGTTGCCACGTGTCATCACTCTGATTAATTATAAATTCAAACATCCGAACTTAAACTTGTCATTTTACTAATTAAGGCTTCAACTTCTTTTGTATCAGATCACCATCATCACCATCATCATCACAACATATTCTGTTGGATCTCTTACAGAGATAATTAACAATATACAACAGGAAAAAATTGAAAAAAAATTCAATGATAATAAAGAGATGGTAAACACAATAAACTCTTTGTTGGAGAATTTCTTATCTTTTCTTATAGATGAAGAGGCAAGCTTTTAATGAAATTTTTATTGATTAGTTGGTTCATATTCATTTTAGAAATTAATCTTTGTATTATTGCATTCCTGTTACAGAATAACAACAACAATAATGTTAATCTTGAAGTAAATCTACCTTTATTTTGATTATCCTTTTTTTTTCTTAATGAAGACTAAAATTTAAATTGCATTACAGGTTGGATGAGGCAATGGAATTCCTCAAAAATAAAAGAAAAGATAAAATAAATGGATGTAAATCTGATGAAGTATTGGGGAAGATTGTGAGTGAATGTATTAGTGGCAGAATATTATATTTAAATAAATTGGCTAAAGAAACTGATGTAGATTTATTTGGTAATATATTCTTTTCTGTTGTGAGATTATTATTGTAAAGGCTGCAAATAAATTAAAGGAAGAACAAAAAACTTGGTTGATAAATTTGATTGGCTTAATTCCAAGTTTTAATGGATTAGAAGTTGAATCACAATGATATGCATTAGCAGCTTGGAAAATTGATTCGAGAACTAGTTTGTTCATCAACAAAAACCATATCATATTGATCTAATTTCTTCAAATATCTTGAATTACCAATTATTAATCTTGCATCATGATGGAATAATAATGGTTGATCAAGACAATAAAATAAAACCAGACTCTCAGATTATGTTATTTTCAAAGAGATAATCAAATCATCAAACTTTAATCAGATACTGGAAAAAGTTAAACAGTGATTAGAGGAAGCTGATGAAAATCAAGAATAGAAATTATTTGGAGTAGTAGAAACAAATGGTGGAAATTTTGGTGATAAAAAAAAATATTTGTTGGTGAATTTGTGTAACAAGAATAATTTTTAACAAAGAAATTACTTTTCTCCGCAAAAGTTATTTTTTTCTATTACTACCATTACTACCTTTTTGTAACAATACACATAATTTTGATAATTCGACGACAATTTAGTAAATTCAGACCTCATTTCAATGAATCTATATGCATTTAAAATTCGTTATACCAAGATTACTAACCGCGTTTCAACAAATTTATGTAATGTGATAATTCGGTTGAAACAAGAGGTTTGACTGATTGTTGTGTAACAAATCTAGATTTAAAAAAGATAAAATTTTCTTTTCTGAAAAAAATCCAAAATGGATGAAAAAAAGGGTTATTTAAATGATTTCGTTATTTTGGAAGGTGGTGATAGTGAAGATGAAGAAGATAGTAATAATAATATGACAGCTATAAGTGATATATTTGGTCCATATACATCAATTATTAAAAAAGTATGTAATAAATGCGAACGTATACTAAAATATTATGATAGTTTTCAAGATAAAAGTATAAAATTTTGTGGGATTTTGGTAGACTGTGTTGACTTTATGCATTTTAATATAAAACATTTGACAAGAAGCAAGGAAGAAAATTTAGAGAAGTTTAAGCAAGCAACATTCTATCAATCATTTAATAGATTTGAGATTGTGTTAAATAGTATTGAAAAATTCATTTATAGAATTTCAGATTATGGGATTGTTAGGAATTTTTATGATCTTGAACATGTTAAAAAAAATTTTTATGAAATTGTTGATGATTTAGAATTGGTTTGTAAAGGATTACAATTTAACAACATGACAATTTTTATATTTCAACAAATTAAAGAAAATAAAGAGTCACTTGATAATCACTTCAGTGAAATATGGAAATTATGTATGGATTTTCAGAAGGTAATTAATAGTGTGTGTGTGGATTTTTGTGCATTCATTTTATGTTTCTAGAAAACTAATTTTTTTTTCCTCCTTGGAAAAAATTTTATAGAATGGAGATATAATCGATACAAGTAGATTGATATTAGTGAAAACACTACAGGAATCTAGAAATAGGAATCAATCACTACAAGAATCGTCTAAAAATAGGAATTCAGAAGTCCAAGCACTACTAAGAATGCTGCTAAAATTAAACAAAGAGGATATAGAAAATCCACCAAATCCAAGTAATGAAAGGAGCAAAGTAATTACAAAAAAAATATACAAAATGAAAATCACAAGTCAAGATCAAAAGTTAGATCAAAATAAAAACTCTTGTCCTGATTCTGATCAAAGTCTCGATCCCAATTCAACAGCAGAAGCAGTTGGAACAACTGCAACTACAAAAACAACTACAATTGATCAAGAAGTAGCTTGTAGAAAACTTTATTTGAGTTTTCAGAACAAGATTCCTGAAGATACTTTTTATATTTTATTGACATTAATAAAAACAATTCAGTACAGATATGTATTGAAATTTTATGGATATTATAAAGTGGAAAGTTATTATAATTTTGTGTATGAATGGGCCGAGAAGGGAGATTTACTAAAATTGTATGAGAATAATTATATTAATTGGGTGACTAAACTAAAGATTGCATATGATGTTGTCAGAGGGCTTTCATACTTACAAAGTGCCAACATATTGCATCACTCTGTTAAATGTGAAAATATTTTAGTAAGTGATTATTAGTAGATGGGGGAGAAAAGGATATATATAATATATATAAATTTAATAACAATATGTTTATTAATTATAGATTGATGGGATGGGAGATGCAAAGGTGGCAAATTTTGATAAAGAAGTACAAGAGGTATATATGGGTCATAGATTAACAACTTTGGATAAGTTCGTTCCTTGGATGGCACCAGAGAAATTAAAAGCAAAAGGCATAGAGTATGATTTTTGTTCTGAAATGTTTAGGTAAATAAATAAACATTTTATCATGACAAGTACAATTAATAGAAATTTACTTAACACTAATAATATTTATTTAGTTATGGGATGTTACTTTGGGAACTTGTTTATCAGAAAATACCATATAAAGAATTTAAAGTGAATGATATTAATGATTATGTGTTGTCTGGTAAACGAGAGGTTTTAAAGATTGGGGTAAAAGACATAGAAATTCAACATGGATTAATTGAAATTATTAAAAAAGGTATAATTGAGTACATTTATATTCATTCATTTATTTATTATTCATAATTCACATATATTTTATATATAATACAATATACAATGTATGATATAGCTTGGCAACATGAACGAAAAACTCGACCATCTTTTGTATATGTAAAAAGCATATTGACAGAACTGTGGAAAAAATATGATATTGAAGATGACAATAAAGCAGATTACAAGAATTATAGTGTATTTATACCTAAAGAAAACATTACAGATGAACTAATGCAAAGATATAATATTGAATTGGAATCTGATTTTAAAATAATTTAAGTATATTATATATTATAAAAATTGTGGTTTTTTTTTTTTGTTTTTTTAAGACATGAAGTTCTATATGTAAATTTTGTTTATTTATTTAACAATAATAAAATTGTGATAAGGATTTATATTATACATTCCCACATAGTATATTCTTCAACATATTTTTTTATGCTAGGTGCAAGAACTTTTTTCATTGATCATAACACATTCTAGCAGTTTTCTCTTTGCAACATTGTCCCAATTTACATTTTTCAAGTAACTACCTATAATTGATTCAAGTAATCATTTTCTCTGTAGTGATGTCCATTTTCCCTTCTTAATAACTAACAACAATAAGGAATCAATAATTATAATAATAAATATAAATAATCTATTCACCCATGTTTTTTTTTTACCTTTCTCAGTGGTAACTATTATAACTCTTTCTCCATCCTCATCATTATTATCAACATCCAAAGAAAAAGTGATAATATTACCATTATGATCACAATTTAAAGATGATTCCATCATATCAACTGAATCATACATCATGTTTGATTCTCCTGATATTTTATAATTGTTATTGCTTTCATTACTAGAAGTAACATCGCAATCATTAGCAGTGGTGGTGGTAGAATCAGAATTTTTGCTTTTTATGTTGATGTCTTGGCTTAGGAGTAGTATTGTCACTATTGATCATCTTCTAACTTACCTGCATCATTTTCCGATTCATCTTCAATGGACTCCAAACAATTTTTAAATTATTCACATCGATTGCAAAATTGTTGTCAAATTAATTAATCATAAATATTGGATTCGGCTTCTTTACTTTTGGGCCTCTGTTTTTTGTTAATCTTGCTTGAAATAAATGGTTTTATTGTTTAGTTCTTTTCCTCATTTTTTAACTTTGTAATTTTACAAAAAAAAAAAAAAAAAAAAAAATAATAAATTTTGATGTTTCGCGAAAATAAATTATTTTATATTATTAGCATTTAATTTAATTATAATATCAATCAACAAACATATTTGTTTACTTTGGAAATTTTTCATAAAGAAAAACTTGGATGATTTAAGTGTTATAGTTTGTTTAAATGTTTCGAGCTTGAAGTAATTTCTCTTATTCCTCATGTACATAAGGTTAATTTGACTGCCCACCCCCATTATACAATGATGCAATTAGATTTCAGGGGGTGCGATACCCTGGGGTTTAATGGAATTGTGTCATTACAAGGAGCTGGCTAAAGTCTCTTGCTTGTCAAAAGCCTTCTAGCATGTGCCAATCCGCCTTCACCTGTGGAAAAATTCCATGGACATGAGGAGTCAATTGCATGCTTGAAAAAGGGGACTTATTAAAATCTGATACCTGTGATCAATATCAGATTTTTATTTTTTTGGAGGGGATTTTGGGAAAGAAATGATATAATACCGACAAACTTTACCATCTTTATTTGTATGTAGCTTTCCCAGAACCATCTCCTTAAAAATTTTCATAATTACTTGAGTAATGTAATCAAATGTGTTACATACTCGTCACAAATTTATTATAAGAATTATCAATAACTATTGGAGATCTATCTTTCTCTCATGTGGAAAACTTGGGCAATTTGGAACCACCAAAAAAATCAATATGATTATTGAAATCTTTATTACTTCAAAGCTCAAATATTTTTCTCTTATTCCTCATGTACATAAGGTTAATTTGACTACCCGCTCCTATTATACAATGATGCAATTAGATTTCAAGGGATGCGATGCCCTGGGATTTAATGAAATTGTGTCATTACAAGGGGATGGTTAAAGCCTTTTGTTTGTCAAAATACTTCTAGCATGTGTCAATCCGCCTTCATCTGTGGAAAAATTCCATGGATGTGAGGAGTCAATTGCATGCTTGAAAAAGGAGACTTATTAAAATCTGATACCTGTGATCAATATCAGATTTCTATTTTTTGGAAAGTTTCATTTCTGCATGTTATTAGCATAATTATTACTTTAGTGATGCAATTATTTATTATAAATAATAACATCAAATGTGTTACATACTTATCATAAATATTGCGGAGACAAAGGTATTATTCATGCTCAAGGAAGAATTAAATGACATCAAAAAGATAGGTAATGTTTATTTGACTCAATTAAGAGAAACACATAATGATTTTATTATAAATATTAAAAATTAAAAGATAAAAATCCACTAGATAATTGCATGGAATGCAATTGATGAACACTTCCTATTCTTTGGTCAATCTGTTGGTAGGTTTAGGCCATTATTTTTTATGGAGCCAGTTGACCAAATTTCTTGGAGGATTTTTAATTTACTCTTGATAAATCATATTTTAAATCAATTATTGGATACTATTTCTGGTATTTATTTACACATTCACCAAATTTAATTCGATCTCATCCACTTCACCTGTAAATAACAGTGCTTATTTTAGGATCCTTCTCAATTTTAAAATAATTGAAACCTCTACAAAATGAATAAAAATTTTCATGTAGGATTACATGTACATGAAAAGTAATAATTACTGTATAATGTTTTTATTGAATATGAAAAAGTAATTTATTTTTAGGAAAAGGTTGTGATTGTGGTTGTTCAGCAATGGTTCCAAAAGAAGAGTTTGCAGAATTACATGTGAAGCCTTCCAAGCTCTTTCCAAGTCTGAACAAGACATATTTTTGATAGCACGATTGGTCTTAAAAAGAAAATCGGATCTAACAAAAGGACTTTCTACCATTGGGATCACAATACACCAATATGCTAGGAATTGGTAGGACTTATTTTGAAATATCGAAAGTCATTTAGAATTACTCCAAAGATTTAAAGAATATCTGTCAAAAGCAAAAATTATAATAAAATACCAAATTAGCTGAAGAACAAAGAAAACTGGTCAATCAAAATTATACCAAAGGTAAAACGCAATACTATATGTACAAGAATGGTTGACGAAATGCTTTGTAAGATGGGAATTATTTTATTAATTTCGTTTGATAAACCAATGATCAGTGTGATACCAAAAATATTTTGTTACAAATAATCCTTGTCATTATGCTCTCTAATGACTATTTGTCACAACAGATAAGATCAACTCAAACAGGATGACTCAATCTGAAGTTTGGAACATTTCTCAAAAATACAGGTAAAGGTCATTATAGTGCAAGATGTTATTGTACTAAATCATATAACCGTGGAGAACCATAAAAATTATTAGTACATCTAGCAAACCACTGTATGGGTTGTAATAAACCAGAAAAAAATGAAAAGTAAATTTACAAAAAAAAATCCTAACATTGATGGACAAACTAATATAACAAAAGAACGTGAAGATCCAACCAATAGATCTCTGATTAAGGCATTTGCCTGCTGTAACATTCCTTTTCATGTAATTGAGCATCTCTATTTTATTACAATGACAACATACCAGCCTTCATAATAGTAAAGAAAAGTATTATCACAAGGATCGTTAGATATAGAAGTTGCAAATGTTAATTAAAAAAGAAATTCAATATTAGAAAAAGCGGAAAATTTAAAATTGTATTTTATCATAATTTATTTTGGATTATTTTAGATTGAAGACTTTTTATTTTCTATGAAAAATGTTTTTAGCGCTTGATGTCTAGTCATATCTCAAATATACTTCAGTTTGGAATTTTATTATCCACACACCTACTAGAAAACAATTTTGTATCGATCGAAAGACTTTCTCCAGAAAAACATGGAGCTGACTATATTGCCAATCAAATTGAAGGTGTGGTTAATAGAATAGGATCAAATAAATTTTCTGTGATTGTCAGTGACAATGCTTGCAAATTTACAGAAGGCAAGAAAAACAATATCAAAAAATTCCCTAAATATTGAATATTAGATGCATTGCCCATTGTATCACAAATTTGCCAAATATTTCAAGAAATCATATTGTGCTGTAATGAAGCTATAATATAAAAGGTGGCTCTTTAAAAAGTATAATTCATTTGATCTCTGCATATTAAACTGTGAACTCGGCAATTGGGCTCCGACCTTGCTTTGACCTAGTAGCATTAAAAATCGATGCATGATATTTATAATTATGGTTATTAACATATCTATTAAATAATATAAGCTGATCTTGAGAGAAAATGTTAGCTCGATACCTCCAAATAATAAAACCTGCTCTTTGTTAAAGAATTGGCTCTTTTAATGGCTTTAGGTTCGATCAAAAGTAAACAAATAGCACCAAAATGATTATTAGTTAAATTGATAACAGATTGCTATTAATTAGATTTATAGAATCCAACCAATTTGTGCTAAGATTGATGATGTCATATGAATGAATTAAATACTACTTGCACTCTGATGTAATATTTGAAACAATTAAGACCAATTAATTTACATATTTATATTTGATTATAATATGAATCAGTTATAACTAAAGGTCTTGTCCTAGTATTTTTATTGCAATTGGTAAATTTATATCTTTTGTACTTTTTACAAATAAGTATTGAATAATAATATTTTGTACGTGTAATAGCATAAATCGTTTTTACAACGGATTTTATATGTTTTTATATATGGAGCAAATTATTACTTGTAATAAAATATCTTCAAATAAAAAAAATCTATGGAATTGTGACATAGATTGCACCTGAGCTATCTAGAGGCGAAATTGATACTAATACGATATTTATAGTGTTGGGATGAAATATTTGCAGGCCATCCACCATTTGATGATAGAGGTCATGATCATCATTTAATTTTCGATGTATGTGAACGCTCACGACTACCAACTATTCTAGAGATTTGGGATTTTGCTGAAAATAAACAAAGAAAATTTTAAAAATGAATGAAAGCTTAAAAATTATACAAGTAGCAACAGTTCATTATTTTATTAAACGTAGATTTCAACAAAGGTAAATAAAAACAAGTTTCATTAATTATTAACAATCTTTTTGAACATTAGGTTCTGGTAATAAGATGTTGAAATATCAATGTATCATTAATTCCTTAATTTAATCTCCACTATAAATTTATTCATTTATTTATTTATCTTTTATCTTTTTATTTTATTTTCGAAATAATAAATTTTTTTTTTTACAATTTTTAATTCTTGTTCCAGAGCAGATAAATATTTTGAATCGAGGTTTTTCTTTTTCCTTGTTGATTGTTGATTTTTCTTTTGATTCTCTTGTTTGTATAATGGTGGAAACATCATATACTGAGAACTTTCTTCTGAGTATATGCTGACTCTATTAACCAGTTCTTTAAACTTAAAATTATTCCCACACCCGTAGGTGGCGCACTGAAAGCCACTCTTCGAGTATAACTACTATCCTAAACACTCCACTGGCAATCTTCCATTCCTTCCTGGTGAGAGGGTATTTAAAATTAACTTGGTTCTTGCAAATAACTTTAGCTTGAAAGAAAAGATAGGCTCAACCATACATATTTATCTTTTCCCAGATTCCCGAGAATATCAGTACCAAGAAGTATGAGAGAATTGAGCTGACAATGTTTGTTACAAAATAGTGAACTGCGTTCGTGTCATTTACCGAATTATTAAAAAAGTGAGTTCCTCATATATAGAAATATGACTTTAAAAAAGACCTTAATTATTATATTGCAGTGATGACTTAAATTAGGGTTTGTGTTGGTTCTTTAAAATAATAATAATAAATAAATAAAATCCGATTTATCAAACATGGTTGGTAACACAGAAAAAGCTCACATTGCGTTCTCATTTGTGAGCTTGTTTATTTTACGAAATTATCCTGCTTACTGTCTCTTTCTTGTATCTAGAAAGCTTCGGCGAATCTGTAAGCACACTTTATGGTACAAATAACAACGAATTTAATTATTTTTGTTCCGCTAATTATAAAAACGAATGGGGCCATGTCACATGTCCACGCAAGAACAAAAATTCATTCATTTTAAGTTGGGATTGGGATTGCATCTTCGTCGCAAAGAGCAAAAAAATGACATCACTCAGGCCAAGACAGTAGTCTATTTATTAAATCCCAATAGGAAAGCCGTCCCCACATTTTTTTTTGAAAAATTTGAGTATTTCATGTGACAAAAATCGGATCTTAATCTTTATTATCAAAAAATGATGATTCATTGTTGTTTGTTACTTGTTGCTATAATAACAACGCTTTCTCATAATTGATGGATAATCAATCATACATTACAAATCTAACCAATCAAACCAATTAATGAATTTTATCTAAACAAAAGAGAAAGGTCATGTCACGAAGGGTCAATACACCCAGCATGAGCCGCCAGCAAGAGTTTCACTATCTCACTTGCTGGACTTTAATAACACATTTAAGTGAGTACCCCGAGATGAGTACTAGTAATGGAAAAATGAGTCTTATATGCCAACTTTTTCAAGTTGTGTATGGGATTATACAGTTTACAACATTTCATTGGACAAGTTCTATTCCATAATTTTATTGTGTAATCTAAAAAATAAAAATTCAAAATAATTCAATAGAAAAAAGTA